GCCCTGGGAGGTGGCCAAGCGCTTCTTCGCCGCGCCCAACATCGGCCCCAGATCTCCCGCCATCCAGCTCATCTCGCGGCCCGCCGAAGGTAGAGTACGCAGCGCAACCCGGCGCGACGCGACTGCGAATTTGAACCGACAGAACTCCAGACTATCATGGCCACGGCCGCAAGCAGGGCAAAGAAGAATGTCTGGCTGGGCGATTGGACACTGATAATGCCCTCTGCCAGCCTGACATCTACGGGGAAGGAAGAGCCGCCGAACATGCTACCGAGCAATGGGCCTGTTGGACAACACGGACAGCCACCATGGGCATTGGTTGGCGACTGTGAGGACGCCACTGAGGGCCCGATGTCCACGGGCGCCCCCTTCGGAGAACCTCACGCGGGCACGCCGAGCAGCGCGGTCCTGGAACACGAGGCCACATGGGGGCCCATATCCGTGAAATTCCTCGCAGGTCCAGACGGGCGCTGGCGGGGCAAGTGGCCCCACGAGATCTTGAAGGCCTCCGGCCCTCCCCCTTCGCCCCCCACTCAGCCCCACGCAGTCCCGCCCTTCGCCCGCCCCCCCCCCCCCCGGACACGCTTCCGAAGGCCTCCGAAGTTCAGTTTAGTGAAAACTTCTCGAAACTCATATTCAAAAACTCGTCGGGGCTCTCCTGCCAGCCTAAGTAGTAGCGAATCTCCTCTCTCCACATGTTCCATTGAGAGCGTGCCACTGCATGCCTGCAACGCCCCGGGGCCCCCATGATATTCAATGTTTTCATCGCGCACCAGCCGCCCACCCCCCGCCGCGTTGCTTTGCGCACCTGGGAGGCGCCCAAGCGCGGCGGCCAGCAGCCGCGACCGCAGCCAGCTCAGGCGTCGAATTCTCAAATCCAATCGAGACGGCGCAAGTCCCAAGAGTCGCCATACTTAGAGGGGGGGAAAGAGCTCCGCGCCAGACTGCCCCGTCAGCTTGCGGCACTTCGACCGCCCAAGACTGTCATCCCAAGACGAAAGCATCCAAAAGACGATGATCACTGGCAATAAGAATAAATGCGCTGAGCCCACTGAGCCGCGCCGCTTGAACTCGGCATTGGAAGGGTAGCTTTTTGAAGCGAGAAAGAACACTGCGAGCAAACCACAGTCTGCCCAGGCTGTGCCAAGCACGGCGCACGTTCTTCAAACACCTTGCGCGCCGATGTGCGCTCTGGCTGGAATGCGAGCGCTGCACTCCAAGATGCATGGCCGCAGGTGCAACTGCGCTTGCCAAATTCACCATCACCAAGAGCTCCCGAGTCCGCCGAATAGCTCCCGGGCCCACAAACCTGAGCACGATCTGCTGCTTCGCATGGTTCAGCGAGCTGCCCGCAGTCCACAACTGCACGGCCAGCTGTTTCCCTGCCTCCGCCACGCGGGACGCAAGTAGGCCACTCGGTTCGCAAACGACCTCGCGGGCCACATCATCCATGAATGCCGCGGCGGATAGGTTCGGAGCCTCATCATGGCACGGGCGAACGCAGAGTAACTGAGCCACATCTGGTGTCGTTGTCCGTCGTTGTAGACAACGTTCAAGCACCCGGCGCTGAAACCCACGATTGCTCTGGCTCGGTGCACTCTGGCGGCCCCGCAGTACTCCCTCTCCAATGAGGCAGTGCCCAACGCCGTGAGCCCATGCCACACATCGTCTGCGTCGTAGTACTGCTGGTCGATCTCTTCCATTGCCTCCTGGGATATGCTGCCAAACGCGCTCGGGAATACAGTTGCACGCGAGATCCCCAATTGCGTGGGCATCCACCTTATGAGTTGGATTCGGATTGCAGCGCCTCTCTTCGTCGATGTGCAATCCCCCCATGCATACTGTGCAAGCACTGCTTCTCGGGCAACGTGACCACTCCGCGTCGTTCAATATGTCTTAGCATTGCCTTACTGAGCGGACACAGTCTGTGTATGAGGCATCCTGCCTTGAAGCCTGCCCGCGCACTTGGCATCGGCACGCATGCACCCCATGAGCTGCGCCATGCGAGCGGCGCACAAGGAAATCCTCCCGCGTGCCACAGTACGCTACGAAACAGCAATAGAACCACTGCGCGTCTGGAAATGTTCTCTCGAACTCGCGACGCGTGTCCTCGTGCTCGGGGTCGCGCTTAGCGGGGCTGAGAAGCCGGCGAAAGACTTCAGCTGGCAGCGACCATGGCGGCACACTTTTCCTGCACGCTCGTCTTCGATACGCAGCAAGAACACCGCGAAAGTCACGCTCTGCGTCGTCTTTAAGGGCGGGACCCCATAGGCGCTGACCATCGCAGTTCTGCTCGCGCCCCCCGGGGAGCTGTTGAACGCCGCCCGGGTAGCTGGCTGTCCTCCTCGCCAGCCAGGCTGCGCAAGATAATGGGTCCACATCTCTACTGACGGGCTGGACGATGCTGGTACATTGTGAAAGCGCCCGCCGCCGCCCGGGTAGCTGGCCGTCCTCCTCGCCAGCCAGGCTGCGCAAGATAATGGGTCCACATCTCTACTGACGGGCTGGACGCTGCTGGTACATTGTGAAAGCGCCTGCCTGGCCCAACCGATGTCGTCGCCAATCTTCGAGCCAATCTATGCACCAGGTTGTGATCGGTGCGATCCCATGCCTCCTGTATCTGTTGTCCCAGACAGTCAATCTGCGCGGCCTGATGTTGCTCCCGCAGGTGCATGAGTTCCTTGGTGAGCCTCCATTTCCTGCACCTCCTCGCAGTCACTGGGTGGTACTTGGCCAAGCTGAAGTCGGAGGCGCGCGCGCTGTCTCAGTAGGCATCGTTGCTTTTCTCTGGCTGCTCGAAACCGTCGGTTGTTTATTAACATATAGATATACACAACTTTTAAAGAACACGCTTAAACAAACAATTTCGCATCTCGTCCACAAAATGTTGCCACGCGTCATCTGGGGTGACAAGAGCTTCATATTGGCGCCATTTCGGGAACGCGCGGCGGCATTGTTCCTCGACCTGCCGCAAGAACTGTGATCGCCAGTGTCCGTACACAACACCTGTTTCACCACATCCTCTGTATTCCACTGCACCGTGTCAGTGTGGGTCACTTGCGATAAGTCTAGTTTTATGATGCTCGTACTTGCAGCGAGTAGTGGTCACACTTCCTATTTACTGGTGCCATCTGCTATCTTCGCCCCCATGCATCCAGCTCCTGTGAGTCGAGTCCACCATGATTGGCAGCCATGAGTAGGGTACTCCACGATAGTCAAGTCTAGAACTCGCGACACGTCCATGGTATGTTGTATGTCCTCATGCGCATGTGTTCGCCAAGCAAAAACCGCATGTCCCCGTGAAAACGTCCAACTGCGTCATACATATGGGTCCCTGTTGGAGCTTCAACGGACCCACAGGATTGTGCATATCAGGATGGACTGTAGACGCTGGTATGCTTGCATACTCATTGAAATCACAGCCGAACACAATCGAACCTCTATGTGGCTGTTGTCTGCAAATCGTATCCATCCAAGAAATCAGGTCACCGTGTAAGTCGACTTGCAATCCTTTATTTCGCCACATGCGGCCGAACTGGAAAATCTGCCGGCCCCCTTGTGGGGCCACCAGGCTGCAGCGCTAAGGTTCGCAGCTTCCTGTGCAAATTGCAGCTTCCAGTTTCCACGGTCACAATCATGCGCATTGCTGTTGATCGTTCCCTGTTACAGTTGTGGTTATTGCTGTTTGTTGTTCCTTGTTGATGGACCGCGCGAGGGGGGGGGGGAGGCCCAAAACGTCAATTTTTACCACGCCCTGGGAGGGTTCCCAGAATATCTGGAGGGTAAGAAGTGACACCCCTCACGCACATCGGCGGGGTGGGGGTCGAAAAACACATGGGTTTTGCCACATTTCTGAAAAACCGCGGCATCCCTCACGCAGATCGGCGGGGTCAAGGTGCAAAAACACATGGGATGTTGCACATATTTAAAATGTGCTGGCACCCCTCGCGCAGATCGGCGGGGTCAGGGTGCAAAAACCAATGGAACTTGCCGCATATCAAAAATTCGGTGGCACCCGTCACGCAGATCGGCGGGGTCAGGGTGCAAAAACATATAAGGTTTGCCACATTTCTTAGTTCAGTGGCACCCCATCACGCAGATCGGCGGGGTCAGGGTCCAAAAACAAAAAGGGATTTGCCACATTTCTCAAATCCGGTGGCACCCCTCACGCATATTGGCGGGGTCAGGGTGCAACAACACATGGGATTTGCCATATTTCTGGAATCCCGTGGCGCCACTCACGCAGATCGGCGGGGTCAGGGTGCAAAACCATAGCGGGTTCGCCACGTTTCTAAAATCCGGTGGCACCCCTCACGCATATCGGCGGGATCAGGACTCAAAAACAAAAGGATCTGCCATATTTTTAAAATCGGCGGCACCCGTCGCGCGGATCGGCGGGGTCAGGGTGCAGCAACACATGGGATTTGCCACATGTTTAGATTCAGTGGCACCCCTCACGCACATCGGCGGTGTCAGGGTCCAAAAACAAGGTGGATTTGCCACATGTCTAAAATCCGCTAGCGCCCCTCACGCAGGTCGGCGGGGCCAGGGTGCAAAGACACATGAGATTTGCTATACTTCTGGCATCCGGTCACACCCCTCACGCAGATCGGCAAGGTCAGGGTCAACAAACACAAGGGATTGGCCACATTTCTGAAATTCGGTGGCACCCCTCACGCAGATCGGCGGGGTCAGGTTGCAAAAACATATCAGATGTGCCACAGTTCTTAATTCAATGGCACCCCTCACGCAGATTGGCGGGGCCAGGGTCCAAAAACAAACAAGAATTGCCACATTTCTAATTCCGGCGGCACCCCTCACGCAGATCCAACGGGTCAAAATCAAAAAACACAAAAGATGTGCCACATTTCTGAAATTCGGTGGCACCCGCGACGCAGATCCGCAGGGCCAGGGTCGAAAAACAAACAGGTCCCGACAACGCTTCACGGCGGAGCCCGGACCTCATGATTTAACTGTTGCATATCCCATTATCCGAGACAGGCGGCCGGCGGCACGGGGCGAAGCCCTTACGGATAAGTCACAAATCGCCAGCATATGAAATCGCCCAGACCCCACCTCCACAACACCCAATCGGCCCTGCAGCCCCTCTGGTGGTGAGTGGATATGTCGGAAGTGGCACAACCTGAAGAAACGCTTTCGCAACCGAATATGCACACCAGTGTGGGCCGATGTCATCGGTCTTTTCCCGTAGCCCCAGTTCAGGATGTGGGCGTTCGGCTCCGCGATAACGGTGCATACGTTGTCGGTGGGCCTGCGGCGGAGTCAGGCTCCTGTGAGCAGAACTACGTCCTTGTGCTGAAATGCTGAGAAAAATCTCCACTCCCCGCCCACTCTGCACAAGTGATGTGACATTATGAACCATGAAAGGAAAGAAGAAGACATGGGTGCCGCTCGAACGCCGCGGCGGGTGGTACCTTAGACAGAGGGAGCCGGGGGCGCTGTGTATGGAGGAACACAGATCCCTCAAACCGCACAGGATGTGTGAAGGACCTGGGCCAGGACGGCGGCTGGAGGAGGAGAAGGAGGAGGAGGAGGAGGAGGAGGAGGGGGAGGGGGAGGGGGAGGAGGAGGAGAACGGCAAGGAGGGGGGGAGGAGAAGGGGGGAGGAAGAGGGAGAGAAGGGGAAGAAAAGAGGAGGGGTCCTCGTCGACTTCCACGAGCTGGGCGTCCAGCGCAGCAAGCGCGCCCTCGCCGACAGGCCACAACCGTAGGGAACCCATCGCATCGACGATCTCCCGACGTAAGTCCAGCGCGATACGTTCGCCCAAACGTGGACCAACATAACTCGGGCGTTGCGAACACGGTATGTGTTGCGTTTCAACACGAGCCTAGCAGGGCAGATAATCTCGAGAGGTTAGGGGCTTCCTCTTTTTCGACCAAGGCCTTCATGGCACACCTCGTAGCTATTCTCGGCCTTTCTACCCATCCTGTCACGGTTCGTTACAACTACCAGTCCAGTCCAGTCAAACCCCGTCACCTTAACCCCTCCTCCTCTGCGAAGGGGGGCTAGGAGCACAGGGGAGAGGGAGGTGGGGAGGATTGGATAGTTCGGAGGCAACTCCTGGAACACTTAAGCCCGATCAAGAGGCCTCTAAGCCAGATTTAGCCGAATTGAGCCGGGGATCAGGCTAAACAAGCTGGATCAAGTAGGATTAAGCAGGAATCGAGGCGACTATGCCAAATTAGGTTGGCATTCGGTTGTGCTAGCGCCGATGCTGAATTTGCATCCTAAGAGGGTTGTCAAAGCCGATGGGTCCCCCAGTAGAATGAATCTGCATAAACATACACTTTCGGAGGTTCGCATGGGTTTCTTGGGTCGGTCCCCTCCCTGACGAGCAGGGCGCGCCAGGGGTGGCGCTGGAGCCGCCAGTAGGGGGGCCCAGCGCCGATCCAAGAAACCCGCACGGAGCTCGGAAAGTGTATGTGTGTGTGCTCTACTTCTCCGACCCAAGAGGATACGGACCACAGCCGATGTTAGATGCTCGTGCTGGGGACCTTACTGGAGCCACTTGCTCCACGCATGCGCCGATGCTGCGTCTAACGTCCGTCGACTTGAATCGAATTCGAGTCAAACTAGAGTCAAACCAGAATCCGACTAGAGTCGAGAAGCCAGCGTGGAACTAGAGTCGAACAGATCTATCAGTAGGCCCCATGAAGGTCTCCAAACCAACATCTAACGATCGGTCCCCCAGAGGGGCAATGGGGGGACAAAGATACCGATACCGCTGCTTACCGGACCTCTCCTGGGGTGCGCTCTGACCAGAATTCCGAAGCGAATCCAGCCGTGGCGACGAGGGCCTCCCCCGAGACCCACCCCCTCAAAGGCGAAAGCGAGGCAAAATCAGCGGCAGCAGTGCCTTCCCAGGCCCCCGATGGCATGTTTCTTTTCATGACGCGGACCCCCAGATGGGGACCCAAGAAGATAAAACCACCACCACGTCGATTCCTCCTCTCCCTTCTGCCCTCCTCTTCCTCTCCCCTTTCCTGGGAGAGGGAGGGGGTGAGGGAGGTGGCCGTGATATATATATATATATATATATATATATATATATATATATATATATATATATTTTTGGGCCCCCCCCAGAGGTCTGGACCCCTCCACCCCGAGCCGCTGTTTGACGGTCCCGGGGCCGGGCGAGGGCCCCCCGAGGCACCGCAGCCTGCCAGAAGCCTTCCGTCGGTGGTGGCACCTCTGCCTCCCCCGAGGGTGAGGGCCGCAGCTCCCCCCGAGGGTCAACGACAGGGGGGTCCAGCTCAGTGGGGAAAACATCGAGCGAGGGCCCCCCGAGGCACCGCAGCCTGCCAGAAGCCCTCCGTCGGTGGTGGCACCTCTGCCTCCCCCGAGGGTGAGGGCCGCAGCTCCCCCCGAGGGTCAACGACAGGGGAGTCCAGCTCAGTGGGGAAAGCATCGAGCGAGGGCCCCCCGAGGCACCGCAGCCTGCCAGAAGCCTTCCGTCGGTGGTGGTGCCTCTGCCTCCCCCGAGGGTGAGGGCCGCAGCTCCCCCCGAGGGTCCACGGTAGTCAGGGGGGACGTAAGACCTGGGTACAGGGGACTCGGAAATCCCCGACGAGGTCGTCAAAAAATGACGAGGCCGAGCCGGCATTTACCCGAGGCCTCCCGCTGCAGACGTCCCACGAAACTCCTCCTCGTCAAAATCCGAGGCGCGGTCGTCAAAAAACGATGGCGAACCCGAGTCCTGGCAAACCCGGGTCTTACGCTCCCCCGAGGGTCAACGACAGAGGGGTCCAGCTCAGTGGGGAAAACATCGACCTGGAATCGGCGATACATCGCCGAGAGATCGCCTCCCCCGAGGGTGAGGGCCGCAGCTCCCCCTGAGGGTCAACGACAGGGGGGTCCAGCTCAGTGGGGAAAACATCGACCTGGAATCGGCGACACATCGCCGAGAGATCGCCGAGGGGCCCCCGGCAGCAGATCCGCACGCTCCTGGGCGGCCGGGTCACGGGGCCCCTCTGGCGGCGATGGATGGGCGATTGGGAATCGATGCATCCCCCGAGTCTATCCCCCCTACACTCAACCCGCATGATAAGGGCGCACGATGAGGCTGCAAGGGCATTGGAAGGCCCTGTCGACATCTTGCGGGCGGGGCGTGGCCAGCGAAAGCGGTCAAGGATGGGCCGAGGAGGCAAGGATGCAAGGGCACCCTTGGGAAAGCTGCTCATCTCGGCAGTGGACAAACCTCCCTTTAGCGAAAACGGCCTAGGACCGAAACCGACGGACCTGGATCCCCAAAAATGACGGCCGCGACGCCCTCTGGCGAATCGGAAAGGGCAAATTCGCCAACCGACGTGTCAGGGTAGCAGGTCTATCAACCTCCGAACCTTCAAGGAAGAAAGCGAAGGAGAAACCGAATTCGGGAACAACGCCTAGCCCCGCTTTGGAAACCCAGGGTTGGACATGCGCCTCCCCACATGGCACGGAATGTGCACCCCAGCTTGCAAGCCTCCCGCCCTGCCCTTCGATACGTTGCGGGGGCACTCTCCTCCTCCCAGGGCAGATACATGGCAACCAGGCCCACAGCCCCACTTGGATCCCCCCCTGCGGGCTGACTGAATCCCCCCCTGTCGTTGCCCCTGACCCCCAGTTGTGGCCGCTCTGCCTCGCTGCTCGCGCCAGGCCCCGGCTCCGTCCGCGCGACCTCGCCGGAGGGGCCCACCTCCAGGGACCTCGGCGGGGGCGACGGGCCCCGCCGGCGCCGGAGGGCGCCCCTGTCGCAAGGCTTTGCTGGGTAGGGGGAGGCCCTCCTCCTCCTCCTCCTCCTCCCTCCTCCTGCTCCTCCTCCTCCTCCTCCTCCTCCTCCTCCTCCTCCTCCTCCTCTTCCTCCTCCTCCTCCTCGTGCTCCTCCTCCTCCGCCTCCTCCTCCTCCTCCGCCTCCTCCATCCCTTGTCCTTATACACAGCTCCTCCCCGTCGCATCCCAGGAACGTGTCGGTCGGGCCGGCTGGGCGGTTGGCCTGAGATTGCCTCACCAGCTATGATGCTGGACCTTGAAAAATACAAACGCTTCGCTGATGGAGGGCGGGTGGTTTTCAAAAGGTGGCTCTCGCCGAGCGCCGCGCACAGTCGTCTTCAAGTCTGCAATCGTTTCGAAGACGGGGGGCGGGCCGTTTTGAACGTGTTGTTCTCGCCTTAGCGTCGCGCACGTTCGTCTTGCAAGCAACAGCTGCAAGGATGGGGGGCGGCTCCTCTTCACAATGTGGTTTTCGCCTTAGCACCGCGCACATTCGTCTGGAAAGTTTGCAACAGCTTCAAAGATGGAAGACGGGCCGTTTTCACAATCTCACAAGCTGTGTCGGAACAACCGCCCCACCCACCCAGCACAGGCAAAGATGAACATCATTTTTGTCATCGCTGCTGAGTTGCGTCGCTGCTGGCCGCAACGCCTCCGCCTTTGGAAAAATGCAGGGCGGGCGGGAGGTTCTCGAGGAGAACGCCTGACACCTGGGCCACAATGGCAACGTACAAGACATGTGTTTGCTGCGTTCTACTGGCACTGGAAGCATATCATGAGTATCTGCGAATCCACCCACCCACCAGGGTTCCTCCAGCTTGTGCCACTCACATGTGCCATGTTCGACTCCACAAGCTGTGTCGGAACAACCGCCCCACCCACCCAGCACAGGCAAAGATGAACATCATTTTTGTCATCGCTGCTGAGTTGCGTCGCTGCTGGCCGCAACGCCTCCGCATTAACTCAACAGCGATACCGTGCTGGGCAGGGCTTACGAGCGGCCATCGAAAGACACCCACCGACCTTCGAGGCTGTGATGTGGAAGCCTCGGGAGGAACCTTCGGGCACTCAAGACGACGATGAACCCGTCGAGCCCGACGCTTCGGCACGCAACGCCTCGCGCTTCTCGCTGCGGAAGCACACGCCGCACAGCTCGGCGCCGCACGTCGGCAACGAAGCGCACTCCTCGAAGGCGGAACTTCCAAAAGACCAACCACACCACGCTTGCCACCATCGTGGCGCGACGCCCCGCGACCACACAGCCGGGCGATGCACAACGCCCGACTCCAGGTTGCGAACGAAGGTGTCTGAGACCATGGGCGCAGGCGGGGACACCTCCCTGGCTTTCGCAAGCTCCAGCTCTTCGCGCAAGTAGACCAACGTGCGCCTGTCCGCGACGGCGCCCTCCGTCAAAGTGTCCACCTGCGCGGCAAGCTCCTGGATGGTGTGGCCAAGGGGCGCCGCTGCGGCCCCGCGTCGCACGACGTCCGACAGACCTCTGAGAGGCGACTCCGCGACGTAGCGCAGAACGACGTCGGACGACCAACGGGCCATCAACTGGATGAGCGCTATGCTCACCCCCATTCCAGCCAGGTGTCTCGCACCCGTCACGCGCAGGCTGTGGCCTCCAAAGCGCCGAGCTCCAAGATCATCAAACAGCCGCTCTTCGCAACGTAGTGCCACGTACTCGATGGTCTTCACAACCGCTTCCTTCTCAACGCACCCCCCGGACAACGTAGGGAACACTGGCAACTCCTGCAAGTCGACGGTGCCGCCGAACTTCCTCTCTAAGACAGCCAGCTGGTCCAGAATGGCATGAAACGGGCATGCACGCAGACGGTCGCCACGGCAAATGCACTCCCATCTACGAACCTTCCCCAGACCCCGAACATCAGTCTTCGAGGTCGGCAACGTCCAGTCCACGAACTGCTTCCCGACGTCGACCGCCAGATGCTTGACCTTCGCGAAGCTGAGCTCGAGCTCCCGGAGCATCCAGAATGAGCCCGCCACTACCAGGTTCGCCGCGCCCACGGGCCCTCCAGGGCAGACAGGATCCGGGGAGCAAGAAGCGGTAGCTCTCCATGCCACGTCAACGTCCAATGCAGCAGACTGCCGAGCTGGACCAATGCCTCTCGTCACTGACCGTTTCGTCTGTCGTTCTGCTCGCTCCAAGTGCTCCGTCCACGCGTAGCCGTGCTCCAGGTGCCAATCCTTGACGCGAGAAATGTAATTTCCAACAGACCGGTAGCCGCCGGCACGCAGCATGGCCCCCACCGCGTAAAGTTTGGCCACTGTGACCGGGAGCACGTCAATGTCCGAACCAAACCAGGCGGCATGGAAGAAGCACCACGTATGAAGCAGCGACTCCCTCGGAGCAGCTGCCGAGGCGGCCACTGTGGCCGACATGAGGTCGTTCAGCGCACTCGCTCGGGAGCCCTCCGACTCTGCCGCAGCGAGTGCCAGCGCCCTGTTACCGCGACTCGATGGCCGCAGCGTGGGCATGTCGTGCCGCGAGCTACCACTTGCATCAGTTGGCCGGCCTTGCGTCGCTGCCTCGACGCTCCGACCGCCGCCGCCGCGCCCCGGAGCAGGCCCAGGAAGCTGAACTGGCTGATCAAAAGGACGCCCGATGACCCCGGCAGCAGCTGCGGCCCGCGACACCGTGGGCTCCGCGGCGGACCATCGCAAGCGCGGCGGGCCGCTCGGCGCCAGTTTGCGTTTCGGCATGCTGAGCGGGAACCAAAACGGTACGGACGCCACGCCGGGCCCCCTGGCGACGACCAGGCCGACCCGCCAAGCAGCTTCACGGGTGACCTGGTCCGGTTGAGGGTTGCACTGGGCCTCAGACCCTCGGAAGCTGGCCCAGAGCCACGTCCAGGGACCAATCCTGCGGAGGCCGGCGCGCCTCCCGGAGGCCGTCCGCCCCGGACACGGAAGATACGAACTCCCAGAGTTTCGTATCCGGGACGCCCTCCGGAAGGCTCTCGGCGAGGGGCAACACCAGAGAGAAGTGCAAAATGTGGCACCAGAGAAACCCCCCCTAAGGATCCTTAGGGGGGGGTTTTCCAAAAAGCACTGGTCGCCAAGCAGCTTGACGACCTACCCCCGCGAAGCCCACGCCGGCACGCGGCCCAGCGACGCGGCGCGGCGCCAAGCAGCTTGACGCACCGGAGCCTTCCAGCAGAACACGGACCGCCAAGCAGCTTGGCGGCCCGACGCCGTGAACAGCTGACCGACAGGATGCCCCGATGATGCGGCGCTGCGCCAAGCAGCTTGACGCGACAGAGCCCGCAGACCAGAACACCCCCCCACGGGGCGCCAAGCAGCTTGACACCCCGATTTTGAAAAGCCCGAGCCGCCAATTACTGACGACCCGACGCTGCGCTAAGCAGCTTAACGCGACTTATTTTCATGCTGATCCCCGCTCCACGCCTTTGCAACGCGGATCAGACACTACGATAATAGCCAGGCGCCCGCGGCGGGATAACAGTCTCAGGCACGAAGACTAAAGCATGAGGGAGGGAGAAACGGATGCCTGGCTGAAAGCGGCGGCTCAGACGATCTGCCAACCCGTTCGCCACGCCTGGGATGTGCGCCACCACGTCTGGCCTGACGCAGGCGTCCGAGAGGGCAAGGGCCAGCTCCCTGGCAATCACGGCGACGTGAGGGCTGTGCGTCTTCATCCGCGCCAGCATGTAGAGCGCCGTGACACTGTCAGAACGCACTTCAAGCCTCGGGGAACACCCAAGCCAAGAGTTGGCCCACGCCCTCATCCCCAGCAGGATGCTGAGTGCCTCTGCGACCTGCTGGGACTCGGACCTGCCAAACTGCACCCCTGTGGCGATCTCGTCCTGCTCGCCGAACTCCGTCGCGAACCACGCGACGATCTTGTCCCCCTCCAGCAGCACGCCGCCGGCACCCCACGGCGAGGCGTCGAACACCATGCGAATCCTCACCTTACAGACCTGCTGGAGATCCAAGTCGAACGTGCGGACCATATCGCCCTCGATGCCGTCCAGGAACGCTTTGATCCACTTGAACGACACCGCGCACTGCTTGGCCCAGACGCAGTGCTTGGGGACGCCCGCCGACGGGGCCGCGTAGATCGCCGACCACAGGAACTGAAGGAAGGGCCTCCAGAAGACCAACACCGATGCAAAGCTGCTGGCCTTACCCGCGAAGCTCTTGAGCCACTTCCTACTAATGACGTTCACCGCCAAGGCTTCCTCGACGAGCCCCCTCAACTCGTCGACGCGCTGCCTGGCGATCGTGACGTGCAACACCTTTGGCTGGACGTGGACGGTCAGCCCTATCCAATCGACGCGGGCCCCAAGAGACCCCTTCCGAAAGGACAGCGGAAAGCCCAATGCCCGGAACAAGAGGATCAAGACTGCAATGCGCTGCCTCCTCTGAGAGGTCGTGCCCCTCACCATCGACAGCGGGTCGTCCACGTACGTGTTGATGCGCACGTTGCACTCGCCCTTGTCCCAGAGAGCGGCCTGGACCAAGCGCACCGCCAGGGACGCAACGCCGGCCCATGCTAACGGCCCATTGCGCGACCCCTGCGCCGCGCGAAGGAAGACGAAGTACACGCCTCGCATCACCCCCACGAAGAAGCGCCGCTCCTCCCTAGCCAGAGGGATGTTCCAGAAGGCGTCGACGAAATCCAAAACCATGAATTCGATGGCCTCGTCAGCGGCAAGCGGCCGCTTGCTGATGGAGTCCCGGACGTCGTACATGACGTCGGTCACCCTCGGCAGGGGGACTCTGTGCACCCGCCGAGTGCTGAGCTTCACCCCCGACTGCTTCACGTCGAGGATCAATCTGCGCTTCAACTTGCCGAACCTCACCTTCGACACCACCCCGAAACGCGAGAGCACGGGGGGGCCGCCCAAGTAAGCCTCGCAGGCCTCAAAGGAGTCGAACCGTTTCAGGTAGCCCTTGCTGGTGTACTCAAGCAACTGCGCCATGACCTCGTCGTCCTCCTCCATTCCGGCGTAGTTCCGGAAATCGTCGATCGAGGCATCTAGGTCCTCGGGTGCCACGACGTCGCCGGACTCGGGATCGGCCAGAGGGAAGACGCCCGCCAACAACGGCTGCGCCAAGATGCCGGCGGGAGCGCCAGACGCAACCCACCTCGCCGCCTCGCGGCCCGGGTCGCCGGCGCGATCAGCCCAGGCGGCAAGGAGCGACGACCGAATCGGCGACGAGCAATCCTCGTTCTTCGTCGCTCCCACGTCCGTGACCTCGAATAGCTTCGCAATCAGCGCGCGCAACGTGTCCAACGTCGCCTCGCGCGGACCAGCGTCTGGGGCCTCGGAACCAAGCGCGTCCAGACACTCGTCGATCACCGACGGGTTCTCGTGCAAGTATTCGTCCAAGATTGCGCGCACGCGGCCGCCTGTGACGAGGTTGCCCGGCAGCGAGGCGACTGCCTTTGCCGCCCGGGCCATTCCGCCGAGACAGTCAGCGTCTTCCTGCTGCCGCACCTCCTTCGGATTGACCCGGGCACCCCGCAGCGCATTCTCGTAGGTCACGTCTCCGGGTTCGGGCGGCGCGTCACCGCGCAATGCCAGTAGAGCCGCGTCGCGCAACACCTGCTCGCGCTCCGTGCGCCCACGGCCGACGCACGCAGGCTCACGAGGTGCAGAAACGTCGCCCTGCCGCCTCCGCCGCGCAACCGCAGCTGCGACATGCTCCGCCACATACCTATTCAGGGGCGCCGGAAACGCAGCGAAGCTCTCAGTCGACCACGGTTCGCAATGATGCCGAGCCCCATGTCTGCAGCGTAGGCCCACCAGCTGCAAGTTGCCTACGAACGTAGTGGGCTTCCGGCACGGGCTGCCATACGCACACTGGTCCAAGGAAGTACCGAGAACGCCCTCGCGCTCCAGCAGCCGCGCCACCTCGGGCAGGTCGAACATGCGAGGTTCGTCGCCGCACGACTCCGGCTGTGCCCACAGCCACACGACGTCGCACTCCATGCAGGCATCGGCAACCACAGCGCACCGCAAGGCACACAGCGTACCCGCGCGGACCATCTCCTTATGGCGCCCACGAAGCCCGCGAACACCATAAATGTCAGGAGTTCCGCGCCCACGCAGCATGTGCGGCCCGCGCCCCCCATCGCTGCACGTCGCAGTCGGCGTGCGAAACGTGCTACTAGGCGGAGTCATGAACACCGCGGCGTACGTCTTGGACCTAACCTTGCCGAGGAAACCCTCGAACACGTACTCGTCGCACAAGTCCAGCTCCGCCGACGCCGTCAAGCCAACCGCGTCCACTTCGCCACCACATGCACGCACTGCCACGTCAAAACCTCCAGGCAACCCACATCGCCTGGAGAACAGGTGCAGCATCTTGAATTCAGCTACGACGGGCTCGTTGCCGACCAGGCCCTCGACACCCAGAGAGTTCTCAGCAGAGATCGCGGCATCAACGCCCGCACCCTGCTTCACGTGACTCTGAACGTCCGCTGCCGGTCCGCCGTCGGCCGCGCCGTCCAGCGATCAGTAATGCCAGCGGCTCTTGTGATACTTGCCCTTGCCCTGGTACCAACCACCCTTTCCCTTGCCCTTGCTATCCCCGCCCTTGAGGATCTTCTGGGCAGGGTAGTCCTGCCTCCGGCAAGCATGTTCCCCGTGCGTGGTTTCCAGGCACCGGCTGCACTGGTGCACCTCCGCGCTGTTCTTGGGGCACACCGCGCTCGTCGGGGAGTGAGGGCACGAACCCTGGTTGAAGGCCTCGCACAGCTTTTTGCCCTTCCGGTTGGACCGGAACACGTTGCCGTCCACATCGTGCACCTTGGCAAACTTCTGGGGCGGTGCCGCGGGCGCGTCCACGTTGAGGAAGCGCTTGGGCGCGCTCGGCGCCGCCACGTCCCCGACTGGAGCCTGGCCCATCGCCCGGTTCAGGGTCAACAGAGCAGGCTCCTCCAGCTCAACCCGCCAGAAGTCCGCGTCCTTGAGGACCTCGCCCCAGACCCAGTTCCATGGCCTGATGGGGTCCATGGGATGGGCGCCGCCTGCGCCAAGTGCAGCTGCGCGCTCTTCTTCACCGCGTCTGCGCACACGCTCCATGCGCTCGTTCCTGCACCGCACCTCCGCCTGGTAGATCTGCAACCAGACAGTGGGCCCATAGCGCGTCACGTAGCGCTTCACCATGCCGGCGTAGAGGTCAAGGCGGCCCAAGTCGACGGCCTTCCAGGAGATCAGCGCCGTCCGCAGACACTGATACGACCGAGCCCAAAAGTCGAAGCTCGGCGGGCCGGCAACCTCGATAGGCACGAACGTGCCCTCAGAGGTGAATGTATGGCCGTGGAGCTTGAGCTTTCGAACCATGCGGTTCCCAAATGGGCCCCACACCGAGAAATCCATGTACGGGGCCAAATCAACATCGAGCATCTTCTTGATCGCAGTGAGCTGCTCCGCCGTGAGCTCCTCCTCCGGAGGAGGGTGAATGCCGAAGATGACCTTGTAGTTGCTGTACGCCACCTTCAGCTCGTCGCCGTCGAGCACCCTCATGACGACATCGGAAGCCTGATTCGTCACCGTGTTGAGCGCAAAGGTGCCCAGGGCGGCACCTGGCGCCGCGGCCGCGCCCGTCTGCACTGGCGGCACCTGTGTCGACGGTGCCTGTGCCGGCAGCGCCTGTGGAGGCACCGCAGCCCCCCTCGCCACCACCGCCTTGGATCTTTGAGCCGGGGTTGCCGGGGCCTCCCCAACTCGCCATGCTGCCAGGGCCCTGTCCCAGTCCTCAGCCGACACGTTCGCGAGCACCCGCGGATGGTCGCTCTCCTGTAGCCCAAGGGCTGCCATGAGAGAAGCTGAGGCTACTCCGTCGAGCTGGGCCCACTCGAAGAGCAGCGCGACGGTGGTTACCTCGGCCATCTGCGCTGCAGACGGTTCGAGGTAGACAGGGGGGCAGCTCCTGACACTTGCGTTCTCGAGGAGAACGCCTGACACCTTGGGCCACAATGGCAACGTACAAGACATGTGTCTGCTGCGTTCTACTGGCACTGGAAGCATATCATGAGTATCTGCGAATCCACCCACCCACCAGGGTTCCTCCAGCTTGTGCCACTCACATGTGCCATGTTCGACTCTGTTTGTTCTCGCCTCAGCGCTGTGGAGAAGGCATGCGAACGCAGCCACTTGGGCCTTAGTCGGAGCCTCCCATACGAACCACAAACCGTGTAAGGGTGAGAGATGCGCCCAAATAGCCATGCGGCCACGAAACGAGTGAGTGGTGCGCCGTAACGGGTGCGGAGAAGGCACGCGAACGCAGCCACTGGAGCCTCAGGTGGAGCCCTTGAACAGGCCACGAAACGTGGGAGAGGTGCGCCGTCATGGTGCGGTAGCCACTGGGGCCCCCGGGTGGAGCTCCCTGTGGGGCCACGAAACGTGTGAGGAGTGCACCGAAGTGGTGCAAAGAAGGCATGCAAACACGGTCCATCCCCGCGAGTCGCACCCCGCGGGAGCTCTCGCGCCGGAGCAGCAGGCCGCCGAGCCCGAGGCCACTCCTCCTGCGCGCTCCTCGCGGGTGGGGGAAGGGGCACCGGAACAGTGGAGCGGGAGCAGGTGAGGGAGGAGGGAGAGGCAAGGGAGGAGAAGGGACGACCGAGAGGCATGGAGGAGCAAAAACAACTGCATAACCATAGATTTTCGGAATCCCGCGCGGATTTCTTGGATCGGCGATGTGCCCACCTGGCGGCGCCTCCGGCGTCGCCCCTGGCGCGCTGGCGCTTCGCGCTCCCAGGGATGGGTCCAGCGCAGGTCCAAGAAATCCACTCAGAGCTCCACAAGTTGATGTTCATGCCGCTATTTCTTCGAGAGGAGCGAAAGGAAAGGGATAGGGAAAGACGACCAAAAAGAAGCGACGCGAAGCGAAGCAAAGCGAAGCGAAGCGACAATCCCGTGTCGTGCGCTCTCCTCTGGGGAACCCGCCCGTTCCCGTCGGGGCATGGAGTGGAGGCTGGCCAAAGCCTCAAGATGTGAAATGTGATACGTGATACCAAGAGGGGGAGGAGGAGGAGGAGGAGGAGGAGGAGGAGGAGGAGGAGGAGGAGGAGGAGGAGAAGAGACGACCAAGAGGACCAAGAGGAGGTAAGGTAAGTTAATGGCGCTTGGGGGCCGTGAGTCTCCTGCTACTGGCTCGGCCAGCTGCGAAAAATCTATGGGTTCAGGGACCCCGACGGATTAACCAGGGGCTGCCTGCAGCGCGCCGCGCAAGGAGCTTGGGCGGCTGCTGCATCGGCGGGGGTGGCCCGAAGTACGAGACACGGGAGGGGGAGGGGGGAGGAGGGCGCAGGCTGTGCGCGCGCCCCGCTCGTGGGGGCCCTACGTTTCTGCACCTTCTGAGAGCAATTTGTGCTCAGGCCCGCTTTGTGCAACGGGCTCTTATCCCGCATGGCGAGGGGGGCGGCGGGGAAGCTTGTGGGTACCAGCGGATGCTGGTCCACCAGCGGGTGCGCATGCATCATATGATCATTCATCGCTGATCTCGGACTCCACGTCGCTCTCCGGACAGCTCTCGGCGACGGCAGCCAGGTAGTTCTCCAGCTCGGCCCGTGATGCCAGAAGAAGCCAGAAAGGGCCCCAGTGGGGCCTCGGTTGGACCCCGAGGGCCGCTCTCAGAAGGTAATCGGCCGCCTCGGCAAGCCGCAGCCCCCAAGAAGAGATTATCACGGCCAGGCTGCGGCCGCCACGCTTGGTGCGGCCACCCGGGGCCACCATGCGAGGATGTAGGGGGTTTAGGTTTTTTCCTTCCACCCGTCTTGAGCCTAAGTGCCTACGAAAGTTACGCAGGGTACCAATTCGCATGCAGGCGTGGTGTCGCACCGCATTTGGATTGATCCCCGCTCCCAGGTTCATGCAGGCGTAGGGTCGCACCGCATTCCCCTGAGAGCCGCACACACTGCTAAGCTAAGCTACACTGCTGTTGACTCCTATACCCAGCTGGCGCAAGCTACGTGGTGCAAGCTATCGTGCCTGGCTGCATTATGTCCCAAGTTTTATTTGCTGACACCCCTCACACACGGGAAGGCGGGGAAGAGGAGGGAGAGGAGGGGGAAGGCGGGAAAGAGTGGAAAGGGGGAGGAGGAAAGGCAGGAGGGGCGGGGGAACTGCGTCCCCCCCCCGCCGCAAGAAGGGGGGGCGCCCAGGACGGGGGGCGGGCGAAGCGACCCGAAGTGGAGCGCTGACTCTCGATAGCACTCACTCGCTCTCCCACCAGACTATTGTGCGGCGCGCCAAATGCGTGCCGGTTGGTGGTGGCAACATGTCATCAGGGCATGTTCAGCCGAACAACCAAATATCCATGGTCTCTTCCCGAGCTTCCAATAGGTCATCAAACTCAATGTCATGTTCACTCCACCCTTTTCTTCTGAGCTCCCCAAAGGCGTCCGATAGGTCATTGAAAATCTGCTCGAGTGCAATATTATGTGTCCTCGTCAACCCTGGCCTTTTTGACAGATTCGTATACTTGCCATTGAGCTTTGCGGCCGCCGCGCAAGAAATGTCCTCTTCCAGTGTTTCTGTTATGACACCATATGACAGCATCATGCATGTTTTACCTCGTCGAGCGCAGCACGACGCCTTGCAAACGAATGTGTCCCTGGACCAACGAATATCCATTCATCCATTTGATAAGTGATGATACCCTCGTACTTATTATCTGCCTCTTTTTCTGTTTCCAACTCCCCCCCACCCCTGCCCTGGAGAAACAGCCAGAGAATTCGGGTTTGCACCCTCCTGCCTTGTTGTGTCCAGAGCCCGCCCCCGGATATCAGCCAGACCAGTCGGGCTTGCGCCCTCAAGCCCTGCTGAGTTCAAAGGCAAACTCTGCTTCTATGCGTGCGTGACATGGGTACATCTTTTCGCATCATTATTTTGGCGGAAGCTGTCTCCCTAGCAAAGCTCACACAAGCATCGGATGAGATGATAACTGGCACATTGCAAAACATGTCCTGGGCGGAAACGTGCAGTATGCGGATGTCAGGGCCCCAACCACCCCCTGCCAACACATTGTAGCGCTTGGGGCCCCATGGTGGCAAGTCGCTGGAGTGAGTCTCCGATACTCTGTATCGTCGATCGCGATCTCGAGCTCCGAATGCCGACTAAGAGGAAGAGGAGGAGGAGGAGGAGGAGGAGGAGGAGGAGGAGGAGGAGGGGGAGGAAAAAGAGTTAGGAAGCAACAGATGGGAACTCTTCGTGGAAACGGTTGAGGACCGAGTGGGCCCAATTAGGGGGCCACGATGCCGGATCGGGCCGGATTAAGCCTGGGGACGAAGCCGGACCGAGCGGGATGAATCCGGACTCGCGCGGGCTCATGCTGGACTAGGTCGGTCTTCGTCCACATATGTACAAGCGCCAAAGCTGAACCTGATCTGCCAGGAGTTGCCTCCCGAGAGGAGGGGTGAGACGGAGGGCGAGCAGTAGGAGGAAGTGGGAGAGCATGTGCGGTCTGCGGTGTCGAGGAGACCCAGAGCGGGATGAGCACCCCAAGATGTGGCAATACAAAGTGCACCCGTACGGAAGCGGAGGGCCAGAAATTGGCGACGCGCCCAGGTTAAGGCAGAGAGGGCGGGCCCTCTCAGAAGGCTCAACATGCATCTGGTCTGAGCCTTCTCCGAAGGCCCGCCACCATATGAGAACGCCTGAGCGCCCCAGCAGCAAGCTGGCGTGCGCTGCGGACCACGCTGCGAGATGAGAGGGGTTGACATGTGTGGGTGTACATCTGGGACCCTCTTGGGCCATCCTAGGGCCTTCTTGGGGGCCTCTTGGGCCGACTTGGGGGGCTGTGGGGTGGTATTGGGCAGAAGACCAGAACAGCAAATATGCTAGCAAAGCGCACTTCCCTGAGGAAGTGCGTGGCTTCTCGGAGCGCCCTTGGGGGCCATCTTGGAGCCCTCTTGAGCAATATTGGATGCCCCTTGGGCCCTTTGAGACGCTTCGTGAGCTGCCTGAGACCCCTCCGGGCCATCTTGATCTGCGTCGACGGCCGTCTGATCGCCCTCGGGGACGATACTGGGCCCCAAGCGCGGGCTCGGCCCCAGGACCCCGCAGAGCCAAATTGGGGCTGGGGGGAATTTGGGAAAAGTGTGTTGCCCTGACACCAGTTGTGTGCACATGAATAATGTTATAATGCGTCTTAGTAGTATGAATATGCGTGATAGTACTATTAACGTTAATGGTATCAGTAGTAAGGTTTGCATTACTGTTACTACAAGTTGTCGTATGATTATTCCGCATTCTGGCTCGTAGTAGTATTCCTAATGTGATTGTTAGTATAACTATAATTCGAAGTAGTTTCCTTACAAACAGACATATTCAAAATGATGTGTTGGGGACAGTCAGAACTTCTGACTGTCGCCGTACTAATGCAGCCTCCCGAGTGGGACCTCTTAGGGTCTCTTGAGGCCGTTTTCAAACTCTTTGGGACCTCCTGGGCAGTCTTGGGGCCCTCTGGGGCCGTCTTGGTCCCTTAGGGCAATCTTGAGGGCCTCTTGGGGCTGTTCTGGGGCGGTCTGGGGGCCCAGCTGGGCTGTCTTGGGGTCCTCTTGGGTCGTCTGGAGCCCCTCCGGGAGGCCTTTTGGAGCGTCTCGAGGCTGTCTTGGGCCCCTCTTGGGCCGTCCTGTGCTCGTCTTGGGGCCCTCTTGGGCGCCTATTGGGCCATCTTGGAGCGATCTCGGGGACCTCTTCGGCCGCCCCGGGCGCTCTGAAACTGGTGGCCAGGGGAGCAATTTGGCGACCCCCCACTTTCCCTTTGAGAAACAGGGTGCGAGCCCCGGGAGAAGCACATTCATCAAAGAAATACAATGGTTACAGGAGGGGGTGATCAACAACAACTCTTCTTTAGAAACGAAAATGCAACAACCGCAACCACAACA